CTACGAGCACCATATACAAGGACGCGGACACAGACACCACAGATGGAGAACTCAACACAATATTGGCTTTCAGGAGGGGGCTGAAATGTTCCAGGGCCACCTTATTAACTATGTAATGGCTTTTTCATTCAGCTTCTTTAGAAAGCCATAGATTTTCTGAGACATTTTGTCGGGTTGAAATATACACACCCAGAACAAAAACCACTTTCACATTAAAGAAGCGGGGAGGGGGACAACAACAACCACAACAGAATACAGTGGTAATGAGAAGCTAAGAAATATACTAGAATACAGTGCATTTAGAATTACAAATGGAAAAAGCCTAATTTTCAGGGGCCAGGCAAAGGAAAATGTCATAAAACAACAGAGACACCACGTAAAAGTTTGCACTCAAACGCACTTACAAACACATTTAACACTCAATTTCTTTCCAACAGCTTTTCTCCCCTCTTCCCCAGGCATTAGTTAGCCTTTCCATTTAGAAATACCAATTTTGGCAATTCTTAAAGAGAGAAGGACATATCTAAAGTGTCTCTAAATTAACAAGTGCCAGACAGCATCGCCTTCAGCAGGTCCTAAAAACTTAAGAAAAGGATCTTAAAACAGGAAGCTTAGTGAGCTCATAAAACTGTTGTTGGAGCCAGGAACACATAGCATATTTAATCTGCAAACTGTGAGAGTCCACAGTGATTTCAGCAAGATCTGAGGCATGCCCTCAAGGTTTACTGGGATCTGGGATTAGGGGGCTGGTAAGAACCTCTACTGCCCATGGACATGTTTTTCTTCTGCAGTTAAACACAAATGCAGGGAGACGTTTGACTGCTGCTTGGCGTTACTGCTCAAGTTATATAAAAGCTTTGCAGCTCCTTTTGCTGTCAATATATCAAAGTTTAAAAAAAATCATCAAAGTGTGAAATTTCATTTAAAGTCTTCGCCAGCCTACAGCTCTATTTCACAGGCCCATCAAATAAAAGTAAAGATGAAAAATACACTGAAAGTACTTGAAAAAGTTTGCAGCAGTGCTCCTGCCCCTGTTGTTGTTTATTCTGTCTCCCTTTATTTGCTTTGAAAGTAGAACAGATCAATTTTCATCTAGAAAAATGACAACATGAAGTGAAAGGCAGCATCTTCTTTCAGGCATTAATGAGAAGACAACTTGAAATCATTATTAGAGTTAATCTTTTGTTTAACAAATATATATGTATTTGTTTCTTCTGTAGTCATTTCAGCCTTTTAATTGGCTCTCGTGATGTTAAGTTTGCAAAGAAGTCCTGAATCTTCGGAAACACAGAAGACAACCTGAGCATCCGAATGCCAGCAGAACTTCAACCCTCTTTAAAGAATTCTTTAGCTGGGGATTTACAACAATTGCATGAAGAAGAAAAGTCTCACTTTTAAGATAATCTACTGTAGTCTAAAAGCATTAACATTCCATTACTAAGGTTTTCTGGAGCATTTCATGACTCATTGATTCTTTCTCCTTCAAGACTGGTTTTTCTTAGTGCCTTGCTGTCTCCATGTGGGTGTATGCAAGGATGATCATTAAATTGCTTCCTTTCATAAGCTCCCAAACTCTACCCTGGGCGCACGGGGGAGGGGATCTCAGGAAGCAGGATACCTTACATAGGAGGAAGGACCTCTAAAAAGCCAGCCCAGAGGAAGTCTGAAACCCTTACAGCATGCAGGTAATTAAAGAAACTTCACTGGTGAAGAAACAAAGGCAAGTCCAACTTTTAGGCTGGGGCATCAAATTGATAAATTAACGATTCTTTCATTAAATAAGTAATGAAATAACCGAAGAGGGCCATTTTTCATCAGTGCTGAATTTTCTCATTTCTATCTATGGTCCTCAGCAAATGAGACGCGTACAATAAAAATGTGTGTCTATCAGGGTTCAATCAAGGAACACAAGCATGGTAAAAGCACAGGGAATTGGTAGGCATCAGGGCCAATGCTACCAGTCTATTAGAAATAATGCAATCTATCCCTTTAGAGTGTTTTTGCTTGTGTAAAATTTCACTAGACATGTCTCACATTGAACTCATTCATGCATTTTAAACCAAAACTTCCCTAGGCTGACTTTCAGAATTATATTTCCTGAAAGGATCTCCCCTTAGGCAGAGAGCTTCTAATTAAATAGCTTTTAGTGTAAAATAAACTCTCTGCTCTATATAAATATGCTATTCCAACTAATTTAAATGTTATTTCATGTTTGTTTTATGTTTGACTGTAATCTAACTGGCCATGTATTTGTGTATCAGGTTAAGAGCAGTATTTCCTAACATAAACAAATTCTAAGGATACTTCACAGTTCCCTTTGCTAAAACCAATCGCCACTGTTTTAATAAATTCCCTCAACTGAAATTCTGCTCTGCTTTAGAAAACTGAAGAAATCTGAGTTATTTCTACTATTTTAAAACATAGCATTTTCTTCCTTCAAAATAATCTTGACACATGTAATTAAGAAGCTGTCAGACTATTATTAATTTTTAATTTAAAACCTAAATGAAATAATTACAGGAATCAATCAATAAGGCACCTATTCAAATTACAGAGCAATTACATAAATACTCAAAATTAATACTTTAGGGCCAATTCCTGAAGATTTTGGTCTACAACACGAGAAGTCAAACCACACAAAAAGTGTACCCAGGAGAGGCTGAAGCGTCCCTGCCTTAGGTAGGTTGGAATGAGATCATTTCAGATGGCCCCAGCAACTCCCCCAGCCATGCCCAAGGCGCTCAAGCAACAACTCTTCTTAAAAAGTGAATTTATTTCCACCGGATGCATATTTCAAAAATAAAAACAAAGAAAGAAAAACAGAAAGGCCTCCGCCAAAATCACATTTAGGAGGGAAAAGCAAAGCCTAACTGCAGAGGAGAGGAACAGAACTGAGGAGGTGTCTTCAGAATTGGTACGCTAATGGCACTGCCCGTGTATTTTCGGGGGCTGGCCCCCCATACCTCTAAGGAAAGGGCTCTTTTACTGGGAGACGCGGACAGTCCATCATTTCAAACTGATGTGGCAGCTGGAAAATTTGGAACAGCTGGCAGAGAGCTGGGAGAAAATGTTTTACATAAATATATGTACATAGAAGCTGGCGGAGGGCCACGAGCACTGTACCCAAGGCCAGAATCTACCCGGCAATCTAATCAGAGAGATAAACTGGGGGCGGCATGGAAACAGCGAAGGTTTCAAACCTCCTCAATCTTGGCACAGAGTTAGCACGGGAAACCCCGGAGTCCCAGGCTTCCCGGGGGATGGCATCTTAGAGAAAAGGCCACGTGAGCGCAAAGTTCGGAAAAGGATGAAAAGCCGGGCGTGGGTGGAGCGCCTGCATGTAGTGATCGCTTATCAGTTGCTTCACAAACTCCAAGTTTGGGGATCAATATTTGTTCCCTCGCCACCTCCTCCCGCCCCTTGTCTGCACTGTAACTAGAAATTCTCTGTCCCCGCAGAGAGATGCATTCCCCATTCTGTTCTGCATAGAGTCACGGCTACTTTGCTCGTGTGTGTGTGTGTGTGTGTGTGTGTGTGTGTGTGTGTGAGCGTGCGCGCGTTGTCCCTAGAAAAGAAAATAAATAAAAGAGAATCCCACATCACATTCAGACGGTACAACTTTCACTTTTCCTCTGACGACTGAGGCGCGCCTCTGCATCCGCTCACACCACATCCCCGCCCTCCGAAGAGAAGCCCAGGCTGCAGTATGCGCCGGCAGCGACCGTCCCCGCGCGTCCCCACCTCGCCACCGCCGCCTCCTCCGCGCGTCCGAGGGCCTTGCGCGCCGCGCGCCGTAGCCCGGGGCACAGAGCACGGAACCGGAGGCTCAGGGCTCTCAGAGCTTTTTAACTCTTTGCGCAGGAGTGTCGGCGAGGGTCGGAGTGGTCACCAATGCAAACTTCGCGTCCGCTGCGGGATGTGCAATTCTACAGTCTGTCTGGACAGCTGCAGAAGCAGACACTTGGAAAGGACAGAGAAGACTCGCAATGACCCTTACAGAGGTTCCTCCATCGGGGTGGCCAGTGACAGCCATTTTCGTCCCATCTCGCTCCTCAGCTGGGGACCACCTCTGGACCCGAAGGCCAGGGACACTGCCGCGGGACCCGGCTGCGAGGCCGCAAAACAAAGAACTTCGGGCGGGACGTACCTGAGGCGCGGCGAGGGCTGTCAAGTCCCCGAGCGTCCCATAGACCCGGTCCGGGGCGCGGGCAAATGGATGGCGGCGGGCGACTACCGCGAGCTGTGGGGCTGGAGCCTGGCTGCGCCCGCCGCGGGCATAGCGCGGGGAATCGGGCGGCGGGGCGCGTGGGAGGCGGCCGGGAGCGCGAGCGCGAGTGTGCCCGGCCTGCTCCCGCCCGCTCTTGCAGCTCGGGCATCAGTTGCAAGGATCGTGTAATCCGATCCCTTCTGACTCACAGGCCCTGAGTGACAGTTCTGATTTGGTTCCGCCGCGGGAGGGAGGGGAGAAGAGAAAGAAAGAACTCCCCCACCGGCCGCCCCTGCGGGCTTCCGATCCACTTTCCGGAGTGAGGTCCCATCCCGCCAGGAACCCCCCGCCCGGACCTGCGCCGCCCGCGCTACTCACGCGGTGCAGAAGTTGTCCCCGCCGCGCGTTCCCCTCCCGCGCGCTTCTCCCGCGCGCCTCTCCGCCTCCTCTTCCTCCTCCACCTCCCCGCATTCCTCCTCCCCCAAGTTTTAACAGATGTGGCCGGACTCTGACTCTCTTGACTCTCAGACTCTCTCTTTCTTCTTCCTCCTCCTTCCCCTCCGCCTCCCCCTCCACCACCACCTCCTCCTCCCTCTTTCCTCCTCCCCCTCTCCTCCTCCACCTCCTCCTTCTCCACCACCTCCTCCTCCCCCTCTCTTTCCTCCACCCCACCCCGCCCAGTCCCAATCTCGCGGCTGCTCTCCGTCTCGGAGACAACGCGCGGTGCAGCCGGACGCTGCTGCCGCCGCAGGGGGCGAAGTTGGAAAAAGTTGGAGTGCCGCTCTCGCCTTACTTTTGCTTTCTCGCTTGTAGGCCGCTCCCAGCGGGTCCCCTCCAGGGAAGCCGGTCCCAGGGGCGACGAGGGGGGCCTGGAGGCCAGGGTCCGGGGCGGCTGGGGGAGCCCGGGCGCCCCAGCCACGCGCGCACTCCCTCCCCGCCCGCGCCCCTCCCCTGTGCTCGCACAGACACATCCGTGCCCGCTCCTCCTCTTCCCCTCGGTGACCCCGCGCCCGCCCGCCCGCCGCGCCAGGCCCCACCCACCCGGCAGGGGAAGGGGCCCGGCGTGATGTCATGCTCACCCTCCCGGCCAGCGCGCCGGTGCGCCCCTCTTCACCCGCCCAGCCAGCGCTCTTTCCTCCCTCTTGCTGCGGGGTTGGACTCCCCTTCATTCTTCACAGGTTCCTCGGATTACCACCCTCAACCTTAGCTCCCTCTTTCCTTGTTTCCCCAGACCAACCCTGCAACACCCTCTCGCGCAGGATGCTGCTTTGGAAAGTTAAGGGTTCTGCTGCAAGCTGGACTCATCTGTCCTTGGTGGAATCTGGGAAGTGGGACTCCCATAGCTTGCCTGCTGTCCCAGAGGGCTGTTCATTTAGAGGCAAAAACAAAGCCTGGGCTAGGAGCCTGGACTCCGTGCTTTTCCTTCAGCTATAAAGAGTCTCTGTCCTTGATTAATCTTTTTTTAAAGCCCAGTGCAGAAAAGGAAAAAAAAAAATTCCTCCTTCAACAGGCCAGCCCCCATTCATCTGGTCCTTCTCAGTGTATCCATATTGGACCTGAAACCAGAAAAATGAGATCCAAGGCGAAACAAAGGAACATTCCAAAGTCCCAGACTGAGGTATCTGCCCACCTACCCAGCCTGAGCCTGGAGCTTAAGGTGCGCTGGTGGGGAGTCACAGCGTGTCTCCACGGAAGCTGTGAGAGTGGGTGGACGCGTGATCGCTGTTAGGGTTCGAAGAGCATTTTGAGATCCAGATGCTTAGCTGGAGAATTTCTTAAGGGAACTGAAGGCGGTATTCTTTGTTTCGTGGGACTTCTTGCTTATCACAGTGACCAGACAAAAGCTGAGGCTGACTTGTAGCATTTATGATAGAAGTAGCAAAAATACTTGTTCATCTTTTAAGATTTCTACTTAGACACTTGTTAGAAGGAAAACCCAAAACACTACTCATTTGTCACAGAAAATAGGAGTGTGAGAAGACAGGGGTACCCCCAGCTCCGTCACTGCTGGCCCCAGGCCAGGGAGGATTGTTGGAGCCTCCTTAGACTCCAAAGCCACCTGCGGGTCCCCGGCTGGAACACCAAGTCTCCTGTGTCCCAGGACAGCTATGGATTTCTAGTGAGATCACATCTATCCAAGTGCAGAAGGAATTAGTTTTACAATAGCAAGCTACTCCTTCAGCATCAGCCTTTTTTTTTTTTTTTTTTTCTATTAGAGACTGTTTTGTGTTTCTGTATGGATCTCATGAATGCAAATCATACATCACGGTTCATGGCAAAAATGAAAAGGACAGCCAATAAATCAACAAGTAAAATAAAGTAGATATTTTGAGTTTTATTTAGGTCCTCTGCCACATTTTGAGACACAGAGATCTTGATTTTTCCATTCTAAAAGGACTAGTAGGAAAGAGGACAGCTAATCTTTTCCCTTGAGCCCAGCAAAGCAACTAAAAGCAAGGGAGCAAGAATAATGCTGTGTGCTTTGTGTTCGGATTTCCTCACCTGAGATTCTGGGTGGAAATGTCCAGCTCTCTGCATTAGGGGTAAACACGTATGGTAATGAGTACATTCTGCAGAAATGATACAGGAGGGGAAAACAAACCCAAATTATGCCTTTGGTCTGAGTTAAATACTTGCAAGGCGCAGTGACTTTCAGTCTGTGTCTACTTTGGAGTGCTTTTTCAAGTGAAACTTACGTAAGTAAATGTAATTTATGTAAGTATATATTAAAATATATAATACATGTGATATTAATATATAAGATAAACTATATTAAAATATATAACATAATATTTAAAAGTACAATATTACATTTAACATTAAAATACCATATATGATATGTTTATATATGCATATATGTGTATATATGGGAGAGAGACTTCTGGGTGGAGTGGGGTATCTAATCCTCCTTCACTCACTACCTTTCTTCAGTTTCTCCTGAGATATATTTAACAGTCTCAAAACTCATCTAAATTTCAGTATGGGCCTTTCTCTCATCATGACAAGCAGTCACTCTGAGATACCCTTCTTGAAGTCTAAAATAACACCTTCAGAAATTTACTTATTGCCTGCTAGCAATCTTTTTCATAAGCAAAAGTCTTCACTTTTCCCCCTCTTTGGGGAAAGTGAGGCAGGAGATTTGAAGATGCTCTTACTGGTTCCCCAAGGGCTACTCTGACAAAGCACACCAACTGGACACTCGACAGATGTTTCGTGCCTGACCTCTCTTGAGGCTGGAATCCTGGAATTAAGGTGACAGGCATAGCCATGTTCCTTCTGCAATCTGTGGAGGAAAGTTTTTCCTTAGCACCTACAGGCTTCAGACAAGAGCTGTGAGTCCTTGGTGTGCCTTGGTTTGGGCTGCTTCAGTTGGGCCTGCCTCCTGCTCACCAGGAGCACTCCTTAGTCTATCTCCCTCTTTAATGAGGACTGAGTCACGGCATGTTCAAGGACCATTCCACTCCAGCATGAATGTACCTTAACTGTGTTTCTAAGGAAGATCAAGTTTTGAAGTCCCTGGGAATAGATGTGTAATGTATCGGGGGTGCACAATTCACCCCATAGCTGCACAAGTCTGCGAGAAACTGGTGGGCTGGAGGCTTGGCCACCAGATTCGCAATGTTGAGGGAGTTAAATCATGATGAAGAGGTGGTGAGGTCACTGGCAGAAAAGGTGTGCCCTTGGCAGGTAATTCCTTTGGGACCTTACTTGTCTTCAAAAGAGCCAGTAGCTACAGAAGAGTAAGGCCAGCTCTTTCCCTGACTCTAGTGTCTTACCTATGTGGATTGTTCTCAATATGAGGCCCTTACCAGAGTCTAAATTGATGCAACTTCCTGATCTGAGACTTCCAACATCTATGTCTGAGAACTAAGTAACCTTTTTACTTTATGAACTACTTAGCCTCAGGTATTTCCTTATAGTCAGAGAACTAGCTCTCAGTTTGTATTCCCAGAGGTGAATCACTTTTTCCAAAAGGATAAGTATTCTCTTGGTCAGTCTGGAAGGATAGCTACACACAAACAAAAAACATTTGCACTTCATCACACAAACCTTAAGCAAAGGCTAACCTGAGTCTTTTATGAATGCCAGGACTCTCCTTTTTGAGACTGGTTCCCTTTTACAGTGCAGACTTTGGCATTCCTTCACTTCTCCCATCATGTAATGCCTTCTGTCCACCGCAGTCTCAAGGGGCTTCAGTACCCTGAAGTCACTTTGTACCACATGTGTGTAGTTAGAAAGATCCTTCCTTCTGTTTCTTGGACTTAGAGACTTGGGAGTCTCCCTGCCTCTCTTTCTCCCTCGACCTCTGTATTTTTTCTCCCCCACCCTCTTCCATTCTCTGTCTGTATTTCTCTACCTTCCTTTCCCTTTCCTCACTGTATCCTGCTCCTGTGATGACAGGAGTACATCCTTGAACACTAGAGAATGGGAGATCATTCTCCTTTGTTCTCCATGCCTAACTCCTAGTGTCCAGCTTGCATTCAGACCTGAGAGAAACTCCAAGACAAATGTTTCAGGAAAAATGTCCAGGACACCAAATAGCTGATCTTGAGCCTAAGATCAAGGAAGTAGCCATGAAAGTTCCACTCAAATTGGACAAGGTCATGTCTCCCCACCTCCCCTGACCACCCTGTTTCCTGGGTGCTGTCTTCCACACTCACTTCCAGGATTTCAAGGGCCATGAAGATCCATGGGCAACACCTGGTCCATCCCCATGTGCATCTCCTTAGGCTTCCTGCTGATCTCTTGGATTTGCTTGTTGCCCAGGTCATGAGTGTAAGCATGCAGGGAAGGTGCTGGGCCACCTCTCATGGGTGGCAGGGAAGGGAATACTTCTGCAGGCAGGATAAAATGACAAAGCTCAAGCTTCCCCCAAGCCACTGGGTGGCTGCCAGCCAAGAAAGTGCCTTTAAGAGCCTCCCACACAGGGCCTTCCAGGGCTCCGCACTCAGCACCCGCACGCTAGTCCTTCCATCTTTCTGGAGTGCTGGGATTATAAATGGAACCCAGATGTCTGCTGTGTCCCTCTTCACCTTGGAGATGTAGCTATAATTGGCTTGGACCTCAGCCAATCCCACAAGTTAGGAAGATCTAAAAGCCTCTCTTTGGTTTGCAGCACATTTCAGAGGCCGTGGCTGGTGCGTGACATTGACACACAGAGACCCTTGCCTGCTGCACAAGAAACCCCAGGTGCTGTAAGCAAGGGATGAGCTGGGAGATTTCCCTGGGCAGCCCAGAGATGATTGTCTGCACCCCTTTCTTTTCCAAAGAAAGTCATTTTCTTTCTGGGTCTCACACAAAGCACTTTAGTGACCAGCATTTTCTCCTTGTTTCCCTTGGAGCTCATTCATGAGACACGATGGGGTTCCTGGACTCTTTCAGCTCCATGTCCCTGCGATCATCCACCTCACCATGTCTCTGAGCTCCCATAAAGTGACAGTGAGCAGTGGCCTGTGGGACAGATGCCACCTGCTGACGTGTGTCATTTAGTGTGCCTCTCCAGAGCCTCTTCAGGACTCTCTCTGTGGCCGCAGTCTGTGCCACTCTCTACTTCCTCCACACGCAGCCTCCCTCCTTCATACAGTCCACCTTCCTCCTGCCACTCCCATTTTGGCTGCCTCTACCTTGCATAATCCACTGTGCATTAACTGAGGATTGCAGTGCAGACAGGAAGGGATGAGGTGTTAAACAAACCCAAGAAGGCCAATCTGCACCAGAATTCACCACCAGGGTTTTTCTTTTTAACCTTTTTCCAAAGTACCCATTGTACCTTTTCCACTGGCTTATCATTATCATTTTTTATCAACTCTCCTTTCCTATTTAGCGTCTGGTACAAGTAATTTTGCTTCTCTCTGGTGGAACACTTCACTTCTGCCTCATCAGACTAACGAGGGGTTTTCTGTTTTGTTTTGTTTTGTCTTGTTTATGG